AAAAGGGGAAGACCCTCAACAAGATGGATTGACATAGTGGCTGCAATGATGGGCTCAAGCATAGCAAGGATTGTGAGGATGGTGCACAACTGGGCAGTGTTTTGTTTTGTTGTACACAGCATCACTATGAGTCAGAGCCGACTCAGTGGCACCTAATAACAACAGCTATGTTTACACTGTGTTTACTATGCACTTTATATTGTTGTTAGCTACTGTTGAGTCTGCCCTCACCTCGTGGTAACCTTGAGCAACAGAATGAACTGCTTCCTGGTCCTGCACCATTCACATGATGGATTATGGTTTGAACCGTGTGATCCATAAGGTTTTCACAGGCTGATTTTTGGAAGTAGATGAAGAAGTCTTTCTTCCTAGTTTGTCTTAGTCTGGAAGAGCCATTGAAACCTGCTCAACATCATGGCAGCATGACGCCTCCACTAACAGATGAGTAGTGGCATAGGCCAGATATCAAACCCAGGTCCCTGCATGGAAGAGGAGAATTCTACCACTGAACCATTACTTCTGTGTGCTTTACATACACATTTTCCTGTAATCCTCATTGTCTCTCCATGTGTGAAGTATTATTATTATCTTCACTTCACTAATGAGAAACTGATACTCAGAGAGGTCACTCACTTGCCCAAGGTCACACAGTCTGGGAGTGGTAGAGCAGGAATGTGATCTCAGGCCTGGCTGGCTCTCAGCCCTCCTCTGGCTGATTCTTGGGGTTGTTGTGAAGATAAAATTAAATATAGCTACCCTTTGCTTTTCAAAATTCATTTTATGCCACTTTGCTGTTATGAAAGATCTACGTTGGTACCTGTTTTCGCTAACTGAAAGAAATACCAAGAGGATTTCTGCTTTTACAAAAAAAGGTGAAAAGAGAAACAAGAGTTCAGCATTTGTTTTTCCAGCAAGCCTTTAAAGAGGCAGCACACACCCTGAGCAACGTGAGTGTTGTCACCAAGGTCCTTGCCCTGGAACTACATCTCAGTGTCAAGCCACCATAGCTTTGAACTGTGTCTGTGAGCACTGTAACCAAAGCAAACCCACTGCTGTCAAGTCGATTCCAACTCACAGCAGCCCTCGTTGGGTTTCCAAGGCTGTAAATCTTCTTCCCATGGAGCAGCTGTGGGGTTTGAACCACTGACCTTGTGGTTAGAGGCCAATATGCCACCACATAGGAGCTCTGGTAGCATAGTGCCTAAGGCACTTGACTGCTAACCAGAAGGCTGGCGGTTCAAACCC